GAAGCCAAATGTTCCTTAACACTTCTCTCTAGCAGGCTTGAGAGAATGGCTGTGTGGCTAATGGGGCGGCACATTTAAAGACACAAGCTACATTCATACACAAATATATACGTATATACACTTATACACTTACATACACTGTTATGCCAAACATGTACTTTTGTACATTATTGATCACACTGTTAGCTAAACATGATCATGCCTGTAAAGGTGTGTCTCGCAATGGTCGAGAATAAAAGTTTATTTATTTATTTATCTGACGAACCCTCTGCGGATAGCGACCTCCTGCGCATTCTGTTCTCCTGAGACAGGTCATTGGATCATTGGATCAAGTGATTATGTCTAACTCACAATGTTTGCATTGTGCGAAAGTGGTGACTAAGGGTATCCAGTGCATTGCCTGCAAACTCTGGGCATGTGGCCAAAAGCGTTGCTCGCAACTAACTGAACCGCTCTTCAAGACCTATGCTGAGCACAAGGGTTTGCTATGGATTTGTCGATATTGCATCGATGCTGCTGCGTTGGCAAGACGTCCACCACATCAACATCCTGAAAGGCGTTCTTCTGCTCCTTCTGCTAGGCGTGCCAGGAAGCGTAGCAACACATCTTCCAGCCACGCTCCAAAGGTCGCGGCCACCCCCGCCCCGTCTACTTCTTATTCGGACCCATTGATACACATCCGGCCTGTTGAGACTACGACGAAGTCATATGCGGACGTAGTGAAGGAGAAAGCGACATTGGCCTCGTGTGGCCAAGGTCCAGCCACATGTGTCATCAAGGCTAAGACTAAGTCTTTGAATAAACCTGAGCTTCCATCTTCTCAGTCACAGATGAAGATAATTCTCAACAGAATCTCTGCGCTGGAAAAAGTGATAAAGGAAAATCCAGCATCTCGTAAGCCACCAATTCCAGAGCGCATTCAGCCATCTCGTAACCGCTGTCTCATCATCATGAACGCGGCGGAATCGGACAAGGCTACCTCGGCCGAGCGAATGTTGAATGATCAAATACTGCTCGAGAGGATGATTTCTCTACTGTTTGATGCAGGCGAACAAGGGATAAACATTGTCTCTGCCTTTCGCCTCGGTAAGAAGCAGGAAAATTCCTCCAAGATTCGACCCCTCAAGATTGTATGCGGAAACGAAGAAGAGTGCGCGCTCATCCTTCGACGGACTCCACGTCTCCAAGGCGAACCTTTCTACGTGTTACGAGACCTCTCTCCCGAGGACCGAATTAAAATGAAGAAGGCTGTAGAGGAGCTCCGAACGCGTCGGGCGAGTGGTGAAACCGACCTAAATATCGTGGATTTTTGCGTAGTTCGGAAGAGCACAAGAGTGCGTTGGAGGCCGATTCTTGTCACCCCCAGACAGTAAAGTATAAAAACGGACTACGCGTGCTATCGGCCAACGTACGCAGTCTAAGGAATAAACTGGACGAAATTCAGTTGCTTCCTTCGGAGACTCGTCCAGACCTGATGGCCTTCACCGAAACCTGGCTATTCTCAGATATCACGGACTCGGAAGTGTCTATCCCTGGATATCACCACTCCCGGTCCGATGGCCACGGGGTGAGGCCAGGTGGTGGAGTAATTCTCTACTGGAAGACGGATCTCAAAGTACATCTAGTTGAAGCAATCAGTGACCAGGATGACAATTTCGAAGCCCTCTGGTGCCGTGTTCATGACGGATGCAGATCTCTCTTGGTCGGTGTCGTCTACAGAGCGCCATCGGGTCCCGGAGCGCGCTTGTTGGGCTCGATAAAATGTATGGTGGGCACAAAGACTGTTTAATCTTGGGGGATTTCGATGCACCGGATATCGATTAGGACCTACTTCTTTGTGATCGCCGATCTGACTCCTTCGACGCCACACTGCTTAAAACCGCTCTCGATTGCAGCCTCGTTCAACATGTCTGGACGTGTACTCGTAATTTTCCAGACCAGATCCCGCACATCATGGATCTCGTGCTTTCCCCGGCAGATTCGGATGTCACGGACCCAACCGTTCCTCAACCCATAGGCAAGAGCGATCACTGTGTTGTTTCATTCCACTGGACTCGCCGTCTCACGATCCATAGCCACTGTGGTCACCGTCGAAAGTTTTGGCGTGCCGACCCACTCCGTCTGAAAACGGCCGCAAGCGCTACGGATTGGGGTATTCCTGAACACATTCACCTCGATGACGCATGGAATCTTATACTCTCCAAAATGACGTCGTTAATTGAGCAGGTCGTTCCTTCCTCCCATCGAAAGCCCTTCGCTAGAGGTCCACCCTGGATGGATCGAGAGTTGAGGTCAAACATGAATGGAAGGCGCAAACTATGGGACCGCTATAGGCAATCTCAATAAGAACCCGACTTCTCTCACTACAAGACAGTCAGAAATGTTTGTGTCGCAATGAATCGCCAGAAACGCCAACGATACGAGCTATCCTTAGCAAAACCCTCCCGCATCGCGCCTAAAATGCTGTACTCTTATTTGAAAAGAAGCACTAGAGCTGGTAGTGGCATCCCTGCTTTGTGTTCCTGTGATCATCAAGCGTTACTTCACGAGGACGCTGAGAAAGCTAGTCACTTGGCTAAGCAATACTCTTCTGTTTACGCGAAAGAAACACCATTTAGTGGCAGAGCCGTATCCACATTTTCATCTTCGTTGGCCCAAGTAGATATTAACACTGATTCTGTGATGAAACTTCTTCTTCAGATAGATCCATATAGCTCACTCGGCCCAGATGGATTACATCCGTTGTTCCTCAGGACTGTGGCGGAGTACATAGCTTCACCCATATGTCAAGTCTTTCGTCGCTCACTAGCAGCTGGCCGTCTTCCTTCAGCTTGGAAAGTGGGTATCGTCAAACCCATTTACAAAGGAGGAAGTCGACATGATCCGGCCAATTATCGTCCAATCTGTTTGACGTCAGTAGTGTGTAAAGTTATGGAACGAATCCTAAAACAAGCTGTTACTCTTCATCTTGGGGGACAGAATGTCATTTCTTCTGCCCAGCATGGGTTCAGAAAAGTACGCTCCTGTACCTCGAACTTGCTCCTTGCTAAGGAGATCTGGGCAAGGTCGCTAGACTCCGGCAAACGCTTGGACGTTGTGTTTGTTGACTTCAGCAAAGCTTTTGACAAAGTCCCGCATGAACGACTCTTGTTTAAGCTCCAAGGAATCGGTATTTCTGGGAACCTCCTGTCTTGGATCTCCGACTTCCTAAACGACCGCTCTATGCGAGTGAAGGTGAATGACACATTTTCTGCTCCTGTTCTCCTGACGAGCGGGGTCCCACATGGCTCTGTCCTCGGTCCTATACTTTTCAATATTTTCATCAACGACTTACCATCCACTCTTCAGACTGATTGCCTTATCTACGCTGACGACCTAAAGCTATGAATGAAAGTATCCAGCCTTGAAGACGCCGACCGATTACAAACTACGCTCGATCTACTACATGACTGGTCGATTAAGTGGCAGTTGCCCGTAAATCGTGATAAATGCTCTGTTCTCCCCGTCGGCTCATCAAGCCCATTTGGAACTTACCATATTAATGGTTCCTTGCTCAGAAGCGCAACCCAAGAGAGGGACCTTGGAGTGATAGTGTCATCAGACCTCACATCTATTCAAGACACCGAGAAGAGGGTCGCCGCGGTTTACAGGATGTTCCATTCCATACGTAGAGGGTTTTCTCTCCTGACCCCGAGACTTTTCCGACTCCTGTTTGGCTCGCATGTACGCCCGATTCTCGAATACGGACTACCCGCTCCTACCCTCTCACCAAATCCGAATGTGATATGATAGAGAAGGTTCAACGGCGTGGATCCAAATCCGTCCCTGAGTTGCGAGACCTGTCGTATCCACATCGACTTCAACGACTGAACTTGTTCTCTCTAGGTTACCGCCGTCACCGAGGAGATTTGATTTTCACTCGACGTATTCTCAGAGGAGACCTGGGTTGCGAGTCACAGGACTTCTTTCAACTTA